CCTAACTTTAATCTGAGGTATTATTTAATACTAAATGTTAAAAACTCTGGAAGGGAGGATTGGTGGGGGGTGGGGGGGAGGGTTGGGACTGACCGCGCGGTTGGAAGAGGGGGGGAGGCAAGGTGGGGTACTTTGATTGACAGATAGTGTCGTGAAGATTATTTTTTTTTTATTAACTGAAGATATTTGTTTTAGCTCATAAAATTCATACAAATTACCCGGTCAGAATATAATTTACATTGCTGGAATTCTTATAATTTGGTGATCATTTTGAATATAAACATCATATATTTTGCATTAAACATACAAATTTTAGATAAAAATTTTCTCTAGGTAACTATGTTATCTTTTGTGCAAAATATATGACATTTATATTCAAAATATTCCTGGTCTTACAAGGAATCCAGCAATGTCAATTGTATTATCCTAACTTTAGTTTGAGGTATTATTTATTAAAATTTAGTGGTTTTCCCCCAAAAATTTCTCTGAGAGGGAAGAGCCGGCAGTGTAGTGTGAGAGGGGGAGGGAGTTGAGTCCATTATTTGAATGGACATTAACTTGGCGACTGTATTTCTCTTAAGTATTAATTGTGTGCATGTACCATCATAAAATTAAGATGTTATTTTTACTACAACATAGGTATGTGCCTTCAAAAAGTGGAGTTTGGGGGTCGGGCCGGTTTCTATTGGAATTAATCCCATATGTTCTGTTGTTCACTTAACGCGGATTTCACTTAACGCGGGACCCTCTGGGTTCAATTGACCGCGTTAAGTGGGGTACAACTGTATATATATATATATATATATATATATATATATATATATATATATATATATATATATATATATATATATATATATATATATATATATATATATATATATATATATATATATATATATATATATACACACCTAGGAAAACTGTCAAGCATATACCTAGATCACGCAAGGCACCTACAGTGATTTACTTAGTATATATATATATATATATATATATATATATATATATATATATATATATATATATATATATATATATATATATATATATATATAAATATATAAATATATAAATATATATATATATATATATATATATATATAACTCACATCAAAAGGGTTAATGATGGATGCAAAATTCCCAGGAAGGTTTTATGTTAGTGTACCACTCTGAACACAACCACCAGACAGACTGAGAGTCTGTGGGAGATGGAATGTTGGAGTTGTGGTGATAAATATGGGATAAGAATTCAGTTAAAAGGAAACAGAAGAACTGTCCCAAGAAAGGGGTGTGTGATGGGATTTCGAGAGGAAAACATTGACAAGCACCTGCACCTGGCATCTGATATTCTTTCAATGTGTGGTTAGATTGAAATTAAAAACCATACTGGAAATTTTCTTAACCAACCTTAATACATGCAATATGGAGTGCTGTTTCTCCCTTTGTATTCCTCTTATTAATGGCCATAGAGATGGGGCTCTTTCCCAATACACTTTGGTCAGGTAATTTCAGCAACTTCTTGCATTCTGGGGTAACAGGAATCACTGGAAGACTTTTATCTGGTTTTGTGTTTGAGCTGTTGACTGCAGACTGAGTTGGGGATTTCCTGCCACTGGAGTTGCTCCTTGTTTCATCGTGTTTTAAAGCTGGTTTTACTTTCTTTCCAACTTTGTTATTACATAAGCTCCCTTTTTTAATTTTACCTTGATTTTGTCCACCTTTCTTATTTTTCATTTTACTGTCATTAAGATGGCTGGTGTTAATGGTTTGGTTCTTGATAGATGAATTAGCAGAAGACTGAGGAGTAACATTTTGCAGGGGTATGGAAGATCTCTTCTGCCTCTCAGGGGAACAATGAATATCAGCTGGGGCCTCTAATCCTGGTGATATACTGAAAAATATTTAGGTGACATTACAAATTATCCAGGAACTAAATTTTTTATTTTACATAAAACTGAAATATACTATACCTCAGAGTGGACCACAAGAAGAGGCATTCGATAGTCATTGAATGGATACAGCCTCTAGTTAAATTGACATGTGTAACAACACTTCAATGGCAATTAAATTTAAAAAAATAAATAAATAATTGTAATACAGTAAAAGCCCTGAGTACAATTAAGCCACAATGACATCATTACTCAGATGTCCATATCAGCAGGGAGGCACATCTGTTCAACACAACAGAAATTGGCTTATTTAAGCTCATAATACATTAGTTTAAGTAAAGTAATCATACAGTATTTATGACATACATTCAGTAAATTCAGTTGTTTTTTATTTAAATTGAAAATAAATATAGGTAAAGTTCTAGATTCTAGAAGCTTCCAAAGTAACAAAAAAGAATTTTGAAGGTTCTTGAGTCCTAATATACGTATGTATATGCAGTGTGAGATAAAGTGGATGATGTGAATGTGTACAGTATACAGGCAATGACCGTTATACGATGGATCCATACACACTTGATCAGTTTTCAATGTTAAAAAATTAACACCATTTACCGCTAGCACTAGCACGAGACAGCAGAGATGTGAGGGAACACCACTACATTCCTCCCTCCCTCAATCTCTTGTGCTACCTGCTACACACGTAATAAATATTTAATCACTTATGTTTCTGACCTTATGATAATTGGTATTTTTTGCATTCTGACCTTATGATAATTGGTATTTTTTGCATTCTGACCTTACAATAATTGGTATTTTTTGCATTCTGACCTTATGATAATTGGTATTTTTTGTATTCTGTATGAACCAATTGTGTGGAGATATAATTTCAATTTTTACTGTACAGGTGCTCCTCTACTTAGGAACGAGTTACGTTCCTGAGGCTTGTTTGTAAGTCCAATTGTTTGTAAGTCCAACTTTACTCTTGTAGATACCAAACATATTGTAAAAAATGAAAAGATTATGGATATTTAGTACAGATATGCCCTTTAATCCAGCCTTAAAACCTGGCTCACTCTTCTCCCCTTAGGTAATGTTTGTTCTCTCTGGAATTTTCTTCAAAATAATCCAGTCTTATTCACATTAAACACCTGTTCTGGCAGGTAACCCCCCTCAGTGATGATGTTTGTATCTCTGAAAGTTTGTAAGTTGAACGTTCTGAAGTAGAGGAGCACCTGTATTCAGATTTCAAAATTTCTGCATTATCTCAGAAGCAGTGTGTTTATTATCAACCATGGCAAGCACTTCAAGTTTATCCTTCTTGGTAAGGCACTTTCTGCTCATTGGGACCTTACTTGAATATACTTGCTTGGGCATTGTTCTCACAATGTGTGTTATTTATATGTCTGCACTGAGTAATGTTGTGATGTGGACTGGGCTGGCGGGACCACATGGTCCATGCCGTGCCACTCCACAACAATAACAATGGCCCGCATTTACTCACCTAAATACAGTATATGGAACAGTTCTTCCTATCAGGAAAGTAGCTTTAAAATGGCATTTTTTTTTTTTAACTTACCCTTCAATCTGCCCACCATCAATGAGGTTCCTCAGGTCCTTGGAAGAAGAAATCAGCCCAGAGATGATACGATCTGGCTTTATCTCACAGGGGGGTGCTGGGATCTTACAAATTGGGCAGATATTTTCTACATTTCTGATACACCCAGAACAAAAGAAGTGATCACATCGTCCCAAACACTGAGGGTCTGCAGCCATTTCTTTACTGTAAAATAAATGTACAGTATCAAGTTAAAATAAAAATTACAAAGAAGTTAATTACTGTACTGAAATAACAATACTAATAACCAAGGGCAGATACAAATGAGGGCAGGGGGATTTTCAGTGGCACAGGGCTTGCATCATAGGTGTGGTTGGCTGAGGGAGTGTGGGAGCATGCCCCAGGAATTTTTTTAATTACTCTCCGAGATGCATTTTCCAGCAAGATGAGAAATCCATTTTTTTGGGAGAGGTAAACAAATGATTTAGATTTCTTATGCTATAAACTGAGAAAAATAGAACCAAAAATTTTACCAATGTAGGCTGTAGCATCTACTTATATATGAGGATGAAATAACTTTGATCAGTACAAAAATAACCAAGACAACATTTATGAGACAAAATTGCTTAATGCAACTTATTTTCAGAAATAAAAACGTGTCTTACAAAGTACAGTATGAAGTACTGTATGGTACATACGATTAAAACTTTAATTACATAACCTACACTTATATCATCACCAGAACATGTCACCAAATGTATACAGTTACATGTGATCTTAGCTATTGATCTAAAAATTAGCAAGGTTATGCCAGTTGATTAATAAACAGTACATTATCACTGTTCTATAATACTGTACTCGGATGAATGTTGATGAAAAATAGAAGCATATACTAGTACTTACTAATAATAAAGTACTGTACTTATGAATTATTAACTTATCATCAGTCAGTTGAACCTTGAGGTGATGAGGAGGTGGTTATTCATTTATAACGGGAAAAAATACATAAGAAAAACCTATTTTAGTAATATAGCTGTGTTTGCCCAGGTGCGTGGTCATGCCCGGGTGTGTCTTGGCAAGGTGTGGTTTCTTTAACATGGTGGTCATATCACAGGGATAACTCAAGTACTTAGTGGCCAGGGTCAGGTCTCTTGGGACCGTAGGGTGTGTGGACTTGGTATGTGGGTTACCACGTGGGCCTATACTTAATGTTATGTTTTGTAATTCTCTGGGCTGTAAACTGTGGTCTGATAAACAATCATTACACCTCCCGCCAAGACCAAAGCTTCCATGACAGAGAACTGATGACACATATAGACAGTAATATCATGTGCAGTATCTAAGTTAGTCCCTGAGGCGATAATACAATCTCACATTTACAAACAATAACCTTAGAGATGTATATTTTTCTACTGGCTTAGTTTGATCTGACAAAGCTTACTATACTGGTGTTTTCCGGTAAAGGCATAGCAATAAATACTGTATGTAGAATGAACTGTTCACTGTCTCCCCACACACACCAATGCTCTTCATGTTTTTCTTATTTTATAGTTTTATATTATATAACCATGTACCCGGTACTTTATGGGTGATTTAAGGGATTTCCAAGGGTAATTTTGACTATATGCATTAATGTGACAGGACTGTATACTGTACATTTTTTCAACAATATAGACAATTTTTACCCTTTAAACACATAAGTTTTCAGTTTCCAGAAAGGTGTTTTATCCTGAAAATGGTAACTGACCAATTACCCATCTTTTCGGCGTATGAAGTAAAAAAGTGGATATTGTTCAAAATTCATACAAAGGTACTATTTTACATGCTGGTTAAGGATCTGGGTTGAGAATTAAAATTTTTTAGTACAGTGGTCCCTCGGTTAACGAACGGTTCGATTTACGAAATTTTGGTTAACGAATTACCTCCCATAAGGATCTGTTTACATTCGTTTCCAGTGGAGTAAATATCAAGAAAGTTGTGCTCTTTAATATTTTTGCATGTTTTATATTAAAATTATTAGTCATTTTAAAATTTAGTTAACATATTGATAATACAGTATATGCAGTACAGGGAACTAGTTTTTTGTGCGCCCATCAGCCACTTGACTTACCCACCAGGCGTCAGTTTGGCTTTGTTTACAGTGGAGTGACATCGATTTTGCTGGTGTCTTGAATATTTTTGCATTTTTATATTAAAATTATAGGTCATTCTGAAATTTAGTTAACATATTGATAATATATAGTGCAGTGTAGTGTTGATTTAAATAAAATAATCTTGAATTACACCTAGTGAACGTAAAATTTTATTGGTGAAATTACTGCATCAAGCATGGGTCCCCTAAAAGGTGATTTCTCCTCCATCCCACTTCCTTCTCTCTCCTCCACCCCCACTTCTAATTCCCATCATCATCATCAACCAGGAACCTTCTACATACACACTTCAAAGTAAGTGTACTTTAATGCATTTTTTTTTTACATTGTATGTACTTTTATGTGAGCCGGAACCAATTACCCAATATCCCATTGAAACAATGGATTCGATTAACGAAATTTTCGGTTAACGAACAACTCTGTGGAACGAATTGTGTTCGTAAACCAAGGACTACTGTACTGTAATTAGTGTTAACCCTTAAGCCCCGGGTTAGGGTGCTGCTGGCAGTGCCACCCCCTCGCGGGGTTAAATCGTGAAAAAAAATCTACTTTTCCAAAAAAATAAAAATAATAAATAAAACATAAATAAAAAAAATTAAATAAAAAAATTAAATAATGGCGGGAAAATAGGTGGACGTTCTGGAACGTCACCCGGGGCCTAAGGGTTAACTGATGAGCTTTGAAATAATTAAATAATGTACATACAGAATACATATTTAAAATGTCAATTATGTTGCGACCATAAATTTTAAATCGCATATAAATTACTTTTGTAACGCTATTTACTCGCCGTCTATGGTTTTTCAAGGTCACCTTTTGGTGTTTATGTATTATTCTGGATGTACAGTACTTATATAGTTAGACACATTAAATTTCAATTCTGAGAGAAAAAGTGTTTTCGGTCTAAAATCCTATAAGGGTTCCAGGCTTACCGTTTAGGCCATAATCTTGATCTCACCGATTTTGTTCAAAATCTCAATAAATGTACATGCTCATTAAAGATCTGTTGAATGCAATTTGATATCTGTATAATACTTTCAGGGTTGGCAAAAACTAGTGTTTTTTTTGTTTGTTTTTTACAAAAAACTAACAAACAATTCTTTGGGGATTTAATGCTATTATGTTGATTCTAATAAGTTTTAATTATTTTTAGCCCTTTTTTTTATAGCCTCTTAATATGCTATTACTCATAAACATTACACTGAGGATGATTTACCAATCATTTATACTCTTTTTCATTTAAAAAAAAAAACACCGTGCAAAGGTTAAATTTTAAAACCACAAGCTTTGATCAGTCATCCAGACTCATACTACATGTTTAAAGGCAAAAACTAAGTTTAAGTTCATCTTAATGCATGGAAAAAGTATTCAACTTTTACAGTTGAAAGCTTTAAAGAATTCATATAAGTATGTGCAGTTGGAGAGAGAGCGATGGGCAGTGGCAACTTGGTTCCATGATCTGAATACAGAAGCAGTCACCAGTTATACTGAACAGTGGCAACTTGGCTCCCTTATAATCAGGATTTGTGATGTGTGCAGCCTTGTAAGAAAGTTTATTATCACCATTTTCACCAGTGTATAATACAGCTACTCCTCGACTTACGACTGCCTCAGTCGTACCAAAATTTTGTCAAATTACGTATTTTCGAGTCCCGACGTCAGTGATTGCGCTGTGTACTGACAAATTTTCGTTTGTAATTTACTTTAAATGGCTGGCAAGCTTAAAAGTGAGATTTTGTGGTGCTGAGAAGAAGAGACACCCACTATAGATTGTCTATGTATTATTTAATCATTTTCGACTTACGACCTGGATTTGGGTCCCTAACCCCATCCTAAGTCAAGAAGCAGCTGTAGTTCACATCCTTGTCGACATTGAACAACAATGGGGACGTATAGTAATGGGATTAAAACTCTGTGAACACTGATCATATCACAATTCCAAGATCCATTTTGAAGACCACAACCTTCACAGGTTCCCCTGACGACAATTATTAACTCACTGGCTCGTGTAAACAGAGTGGTCGTGTTGCTTCAAACTGCTCCACAATATTTCGAACTGAAATGTTACCAAATGCTGCTCAACTTTTAGTACTCGTGTAACCGCAGCTTCAGACACCTTTCTTCAATGGTATTTGTTGCGCAAATTATGTATAAGAGATATTTAACATTTCTTTATGTACAGTATGTTCGTATGTGGAGGTACACACCCAGAACATCAAACTACTGTGGAGCCCCCTGGATAGGTTAGATTCAAAACTATGATTTTACGATGGTTTTGGTGTGTTTTGAACACTTTTTACCCGATTTTATAACAATTCTCAGAAATTTTTTACAAGTGGGACTCTCAGCTTTTTTAAGCTTTTAACATATCCAATAGATATATCTCAATATTTTGAGTAACTTTCATTCTATACAGTTCTGTCACAAAGGAATAATAATTACCTAATAGAACCTGACCTAACCAATCAAAGAAACCTACATAACCTTACCTAACTTCCTAGCCGCAGACTGGTAAAATTTTAGTTTCAGTCATCCCTGTACAATATTTAGATATCCAAACTATGTGATTTCCGATAGCTATGAAGGTCTAAATCGAACATCTCAAAAGGGCACTACCCAGTCGAGTGTCCATACCTGGAGCTGGCGGATGCCCGCCCCACAAGGGGTAACAACTCAAGCTTCAAGAAGCCACAAGTCCAGAAAGAGCTCACACTCAGTGCTGTCACAACACTCTCTGGCAGATTGTTCCAAGAGTTCACAACTCTCACTCCAAAAGAGTTAGCCCTCCCAGTTTTCTGGACTTGCAGCTTCTTCAACCTTGAGCTGTGACCCCTTGTGGGACGAGCGTCTGCTAGCTCGGTATTATTTTACTTTAGGACATGCGCCCCCAAAAGTTATAAACTCCCGAAACATTTAGATCTCGCTATTTTCAGCATTTTGAACCGCATGTATACATGGTGGAAATGGATAATAGCGACACAATTGAATTTAATTGATTTTAAGTAGTCGGTGAGATGAGGTTATCGGCGCATCACGCATGCGCAATGTTGACTGACGTCATCCAGTCGTCACCAATGAGGTATCGATATCTTCACGTGAAATTTTTTTCGACCAATCACATTTGATATTTTCAAAGGAAGCAACCTGGGTATGATTTTAATTTCATTGGTCAGTTTCACAATGGCCGTGGTGGAGGTTAGTTGTCGTTTGTGCTCCTACGATTATTTTAAGTTTATTGCCGAGTTTTACGAGAAAGACGATCATTTTATCCAAGTCTTATGTATCTTGTAACCCTGGTCCTTCCACTTCTAACAAAGGTATTGTACTTTTGGACATGGCACACCCCAAAGTTTTTAACTACTGAAACATTTAGGTAAGTTTAAACTAGGCCTACCAGGGATCCAGGGGCAGAGACCCTGGCTAGGGGTTGGGTCAGGTTAGGTTTTGTTAGGTCATAGGACTCGTTTTCGTTTTCTCCCCCACCCAAAAACCCAGATTTCCCAGGTTCTCTCCCATTATTGTTGGGGGAGGGGGTGGGGCGATGAATTTCCTCCAAAAATGAAGGTCAGATTCGTTTAAAACACACCAAAATACACTGGAAAAACATATTGGTCAACCCCTAGGGACTCATGTCCTCAAGCAAAAATTTACCGCCAGCTCTTGGTATGGACACTCGACTGAGTAGTGCCCTTTGAGATGTTTATACACCTCAATCAGGTCCCCCTTGTCCGTCTGCAGCATAAGCTCAGCAATTGCAGGCACTCTAATCTCTCAGGGTGGCTGAGGTGCCGAAGTGCAGGTACCAGTCTGGTGGCACTCATTTGGACATTTTCAATCAACTGCCAGTCCTAAATAATGTCGTATAATTCTAATTAAGTCACCTAGTCATGCTAATCATGACAAAACATACGGTACTGATGGCAGTTTCCAGCATAAATAGCCATCTTAATTATGACAATACACGCAAATGTAAATCAGAACAATGCTGGACTCACCAGATGTTACATTGTAAAAGGGTTTCAAGCTGCTCAATTGCTTCCAAGGAATGTTCCCAGGAAAATAGCTTCAACACGTCCATCCCTGCAGTTTGCTTGTTTACAGAGTGTCCGTCCTCTAGCGACCGCCTGGTGTGAGTGTGCTGCTTCCCGCGGCAAAATTCCAAATAAAAAAATAAAATGAGATATTTGGTTCTTTATGGTTGGAGAGAATAAGGATTAGAAAAAATGATTTTTTTTAGATATTACCAACATATATATTCTACAAGCAAGTCAACATTTATAATAAAAAATAAGCTTGGTAACAACCCCCCGACAGTAGAGTAGACACCGTTGTAGTGGATTCCTCCCCTACAAACGCTGTTTGTCGCTGAGTAGCCGACCCCGCGAATTCCACAGTGTATGCCTCGTGGTCTAGGTCAACCAGCGCCTCCTCACATGACGGAGGTCAACTATTAAGCCACGCCTACCTCCGCTATATAAGACCTGACCTCGTGGTGACCGGTCTCTTTTACTACCTACAGCCAGTCTTCAAGTAACACCACCTCCTCCACCGCTCCCGCCGGCGAGCATGGCGACCCACAAGCAGGTCCAGTGGCGTAGCTAGAGTGTGTGCCTCCCGGGGCGGCCCTTGAGTTTGCCGCCCCCCCTCCGTGCCCCCACAAAAAATACATATTGCACAGTGACTCACTCTTATATATATATATATATATATATATATATATATATATATATATATATATATATATATATATATATATATATATATATATATATACAGTGGCGTATATATATATACAATACATATTGTGACTCACTCTTATATATATATATACAGTATATATACTTTACTTTCACATACTCAAATATAGTATGCTTTAAATACACCCCAAACATACTTAAACTTTATAAGTAACAGTTAAACAAAAAGCAAAAACGACATATAGGATAGGGAAAAAAGTAAAAAAGTGTAAAAAATTAGGACCATCTTTATTTCTGAAATGAAAACTACAACTTTCTACAAAGTAACTTTTCTTGTTTTTTTGTTGGCAAATTCTTCAATGACATTGTCAAAAACTATTTCATCTGTCAATTGTCGCTCTATAGACAGTATGGCAAGATTTCTCAACCGCAAGGTGCTCATAGTAGATCTTAAGTAATTCTTGATCAGTTTTAGTTTCGAAAAACTCCTCTCACAGGTAGCAACACTAACAGCAATTGTGAGGAAAATCCTCAGCATTATTACTATATTTGGAACCGAGTTCCCAAGGTTATACTTTTGAATAAACTGCAAAAGTTCAAGGGGGCCTTCTTTCCACGTCTGTATTCTGTCTTTAATAGTTATAGCAGCAACAGCAACAAAATGCTGAAGTCTTTTTCTCTCAACGAGGAACTCCTCTTTATCAATGTCGTCGTGATCGTGATCTATTTGACACTCATATTTATCATCCAAAAGATTCAATGGGGTAAGGAAGGCATATTTCTCAGCAAGTTCATGAAGCTGTTGAAATCTCAAAGTTATTTCTTGGATCACTCTGTCCAGCGAAGAAAACATTTCTCTCCTCAATTCAATGTCGTATGGCAATTCAGCATCTCGTGATCCTTCACCAAACATTTGTTTCTTCTTTTTGGGTCGACGCTGACGCCCCATGACTATCCCCAGATCATTGCAAATTTCTTTGGCATAGTTAACTCCATTACTCACTAGCTTGTCCCTGTTTTCAACTAGAAATGTTTCTAATGCCCTGAGTTTTATATCACATTGTTGTATGTTGTATGTATTGTTGTATGTTCACGGTATAATGACACTGTCACACTAGTGTCATTATCATCTAAAATGATTAAAATCACAGCAATGTAAAAATAACAGCTTGATCTAAAATCACGGTATAATGACACTAGTATCAATGTAATACAATGGAAATGTAAAAAGTAGCAACTTAATCTAAAATTACAGACTCAGAGTACAGTGAAAATGGATGTCTGACATAAGCCCCCCCCGACGAAAACCACCCAAACATAAGCCCCCCCCCGACGAAAGCCACCCAGACAAAAGCCCCCTACTTTGATCTGGGTGGCTTTTGTCTGACAACCCTAACCCTAACCTAACTTAACCTAACCCTAACCTAACCAATAATTAACCACAGAGAAGAACAGTATATTTTACCCTCAACTATTTAATTATGTCCGTAACTTTTGAAAGCCCTTACTGTTGTCAGACAAAAGCCACCCCGGTCAAAGTAGGGGGCTTTTGTGGGTGGCTTTTGTCGGGGGGGGGGGCTTTTGTCTGTACCCCAGTGAGGATAGTGTCTTAGTATAAAATCGCAATGCTGTGAAACAAAATCTTAATATTTAATCTCAGTACCGCAGCAAAAGTCACATCAATATTTGTTAACCAATACTTTAATATTTCTTACCTTATAGTATTATGTCTTCCAACGAAGGCAAACAGGATTCTTGGGTTCATATCTAGGTCTGTGAGTAACAGAACTGCTGACGTTATCTTGAAACTTTACCTAGCATTAGTGAGGCCACACATGGATTATGCGGTTCAGTTCTGGTGTCCTTATTATAGAATGGACATAGATTCTTTGGAGAGAGTACAAAGAAGAATGACAAAAATGATCCATAATATTAGAAACCTTCCATATGAAGAAAGACTGAAAAGCTTAGGCTACATTCATTAGAGAGGCGAAGAGTTAGGGGAGATATGATAGAGGTGTACAAGTGGGTAAGTGGGATTAACAAGGGTAAAATGGAAGATGTTCTGAAGCTCAGTAATAACGAAATAACTAGAACAAATGGCTTTAAATTAGATAAATTCCGATTCAGAAAGGATATAGGCAAGCACTGGTTTGGTAATAGAGTTGTGGATATGTGGAATAGGCTACCGAGTGCTATAGTAGGATCGGGGACGCTAGGGAGCTTCAAGACGAAGTTGGATAGGCACATGGATGTGCTGGGATGGGTGTGAAAGGGATCTGCCCTGTATGGGCCAGTCGGCCTCCTGCAGTATCCCACTTTCTTATGTTCTTATGAAGTAAACAACTGGATCGAAAACACAAGAGAACTTAAAAGTCGTCTAGCCTCCCCTCGTCTTGTCACGATGGAGACTTGTGCAGAACTGAAGTGAATTGCTTGTAACTGGTGGATTGGTCGGCTGTACATGAACTGATATGACCCGAGACTGCATGGTTTTGCAGCTACTGGAGACGTTAATCCTTCCCTTTGTATCGGCGGCAAGTTAATCCTCGTCGTGTCTGACCTAACACCTGACCCACACCACATGAGCTCACTGGCGTACTTGTTTGAAGTTGTTTCCTTAATCCTCAACAGGTTACAGGTTGTGTGTGTGGCGGGGGGGGGCGCATAGCAAGGGTGTAGCTCATGACGTGGCCGTGATGATGTGGGTCAGGTGTTAGGTCAGACACGACAAGGATTAACTTGCCGCCGATACAAAGGGATGGATTAACGTCTCCAGTAGCTGCAGATATGGGTGATGAGCAGACCCAAAAGTGCCGCCTGGGGCGGACCGCCCTCCTAGCTACGCTAGTGAGCAGGTCCTCCTCTGAGCACCCTCACCAACCAGCTCTCCCTACTCACGCTTGTAACCACGCTGCCTCCTCCCAGCACCAGCCACCAAGCTGCACTGTACATCCAAGACAATATGTATACAGAGAGCATGTAGTGGATACCTCCCCTACAAACGCTGTTTGTCGCTGAGTAGCCGACCCCGCGAATTCCCCAGTGTATGCCTCGTGGTCTAGGTCAACCAGCGCCGCCTTGCAAGACGGAGGTCAACTATTAAGCCACGCCTACCTCCGCTATATAAGACCTGACCTCGTGGTGACCACTCTCTTTTTTCTACCTACACCAACCAGCAAGCAACACCTCCTCCTCCTCCTCCTCCTCCTGCCTGGCGGTCCTCGCTCCCGCCGGCGAGCATGGCGACCCACAAGCTGGTCCTCCTCTGAGCATCCTCACCAACCAGCTCTCTCTACATCACGCTTGTAACCACGCTGCCACTTCCCAGCGCCAAGCTGCACTGTACATCCAATACAATATGTATACAGAGAGCACATTGTGAGTTTACTTTCTCCATTCCATCCTGAGTGCGAACCCAAACATCTCATACCCCACAAATGGTGACCCCGGAGTGACCGTGGGATTGTCCGTGGCGGCAAGGCGCGCAGCAGAGCACTCGTTGAAAATTCTGTCTGCCGCGGTTGCATATAGTTCTGGTGCCGTAGAGTAATCTACTGCGGACAGGATGTTGCGTACTTGTGTGGGTAGCTTTTGTGCGTGAAGCTGTGAAGCTGGCGCAGGATAGAGTCAGGAAGTCTGTCTGTGTGCCGGGAGTTTGTAGGGACTGTAGTGGATACCTCCCCTACAAGTTCAACCTGCACATCTCCTCCCAGATGAGTCCCGGAGTTGAGTTTCCAAGGGAGATAGAAGATAGGTTCTGTAGGAGACTGGAGCGGGTCCGTTGGTAATGCGTTTTTAAGGCATCCCGCAGGGTGGCGAATTTGTTGTTCGCTGGAGGGTTGGAGATAGTCTGTGAGACTTGTGTGGCGACTTCAGTGGGCAAGGAACAGAGCAGGGCGCCGTACTTTTGCTCGTCTGTTGTGAGAGTGGTCTGGGCGTTAGGTGCGGGGTGGGCCAGGAGGGTGAGGCGTGTAAAGTGCTGTTTGATAGTGGTACACCTCAACATCGTGGGACCTCTTCCATCATCCTACGGTAGCACCTACATCTTCATCTGCATCGACCGTTTCACCAGGTGGACACAAGCCATTCCCATGCCCCACAAATGGTGACCCCCGGAGTTTCACACTCACACAGGATGGAGGAGAAACATCTCACATAACCCCACACTGTCACTCACTCGTCTGTCAGCCTGTCAGGGTCAGGACTCAGGGCCCAGGGCCAGGGTTCTAAGTGGCCTTGGCCAGGGGCCCGGTGGTAGTGGCGGGAGATCAGAGTGCCCTGAGCCTCTGTATCGTACTGTATGTGGCCAGTTGTCAATTCTCTTTGGTTGTCTATTATCTCCTTGTATGGGCTCACAAACGTACGTACATGTAGATATCTCCACTCAGGAATGAGGTAGAATAGAAACTCACAATGCGTTTTCTATATATATATATATATATATATATATATATATATATATATATATATATATATATATATATATATATATATATGCAAGTAAATCACTGTAGTTGCGCCATCACATTCAGGGTGAGTACAAACTCTGTACACACCTGAAGATGTGAATTACACGAGCGCTTGGGAACTTCTGTGTTTCTTCTTTCCTTGTGGTTATCATATATATATATATATATATATATATATATATATATATATATATATATATATATATATATATATATATATATATATATATATAT